CTCCTTAAGATTTTTTCTTTAGTGTTTACCTTGGACATTCTGGTGACTATATGCCTTGGTGATGTTCATTTTGTCCAGTATCTCACAGGTGTTCTCTGGATTTCTCATATCTGGACAAAGATTAGGGAAATTTTCTTGAAGTATTTCATCAAATATGTTTTTTGGATTGTTTGCTTTTTCTTTTTCTCTCTCAGGAATGCCAGTATCTTGCAGGTTTGGCTGCTTTACATAATCTTATATTTCTCAAAGACTTTGTTCATTTATTAAAATTCTTTTTTTCTGTATTTTTGTCTAACTGGGTAGTTTAAAAGACCAGTCTTCAAGCTCTGCATTTCTTTCTTCTGCTTGGTCCAGTCAATTGATAATTTTTTAATTGTATTTTGAAATTTCTTAAGTAAGCTTTTCAATTCCATAAGATCTGATTGATTTCTTTTGAAGATGTTTATCTCTTCTTTCATTTCCCAGATTACTTTAGAAGTTTGTGTCTATTTTCAACCATCTTTTGGATCTTGTTGAGCTTCCTTGCAATTCATGCTTTGAATTCTTAGTCATTTCTGAGTTTCCATTTTGGCTAGGAACCATTGCTTGACAGCTAGTGTGATCCTTTGGTGGTGTTATTACATTCACATTTTTTGTGGTGCCCGATTTCTTGCCCTGTTCCTTCTCATCTGGGGACACTAGTGCTTCCAATTTTTGTAGTCATTTTAATGCAGGTAGGATTTTTTCTTCTTCTATAGGCTATGGGATCCCACCTACAGGCCAGTAGATGGCATGTACAGCTAAGTCAACTGAGGCAAACACAGCTACATATATACTTAACCCTTATTTACCGGGAGAAAGGATGAGCCAGGCTGATGATTCAGGTGAGCAGATGGTCAGAATGCCTGGAAATCTGCCTGGTTGTGGAGCAGAGACAGCCCCACTTCACCACAATGTCTGCTCAGGAAAGATGGGGCAGCTCAGACTGCTGATCATGGCAAGTAGGTGCTCTGCCTGCCTGAGTGTGAAGCTGAGAAAGCCCCCTCCACACAGATCTCTGCAAAGGAAGGGTGGGGTGACTCAGGCTGCCAATGCAGGTGAGCAGGTTCTTTGAATGCCTGAAGATCTGACTGTGTATGGAGCAGAGAGGGTCCCACGGCACCACAGTCTCTGCACAGAAAGGGTAGGGTGGCTCAGGCTGCTCATCTAGGTGAGTGGGTGCTCCAAATGCCTGGAGATCTCTTTGGTTTCTTTCATCCATTTTTTAAAACTTTTTGGCGTACAGAGCTATCACCTCTTTGGTTAAATTTATTCCTAATGTTTTGTTTATGCTATTGTGAATGATATGGTTTTATTACTTTTTCAGGTAGTTCTTTGTTAGTATATAGAAACGTGATTGATTTTTCTGTGTTGATTTTATACCCTGAAACTTTACTGAATTATTAGTCTAATAGTTTGTTGGCATATTTAGAGTTTTCTGTATGTAAGATCATGTCATCTGCAAACAGAGACAGTTTAACTTCTTTTTAATTTGGATACTTTTCTTTCTTTCTTTCTTTTTTTTTTTTTTTGCCTAATTATTCTGGCTAGAACTTAAGGTACTATATTGAATCAAAGTGCAAAAGTGGATCCCTTTGTCTTATTCCTGATCTCAGAAGAAAGTTTTCAGCTTTTCTCCACTGAGTATGATGTTATCTGTGAGCTTGTCATATATGACATTTACTGTGTTACAGTACATTGCTTCTATACCTAAGTTGTCGAAAGTTTTTATTAGGTAAAGATAAATTCTGTCAAATGCTTCTTCAGCATTTTTTGAGATGGTCATATGGTTTTTGTCCTTCATTCTGTTAATGTGGTATATCACATTTACCAATTTGTGCATGTTGAGCCATCCTTGCATCCCAAGGATAAATCCCACTTGGTTGTGGTGAATGATCCTTTTATCACTATATTGAATTCAATTTGGTAGTATTTTGTTGAGGATTTCTGCATGTTTGTTCATTGGAATATTGGCCTGCAATTTTCTTTTCTTGTAGTATTTTGGTTGGCTTTGGTAATGTTGGCCTTGTAAAAGGAATTTAGCAGAATTCAGCTGTGAAATCATCAGATCCTGGGCTTTTCTTTATTGTTAAGTTTGTGATTACTGATTCAGTCATTGTTTTTTCAAATATTTATTCATGATTCAGACTTGGTAGATTATGTTTCTATAAATTTATCAGTTTCATCTATATTATTTAATTTCTTAGTATATAATTGTTCATAGTAATCTCTTATGACCCTTTGTATTACTGTAGTATTAGTGGTAATGTATCTTCTTTCACTTATAATTTTACTTATATGAGTCTCCTCTCTTTTTTTCTTAAGTCTAGCTAGAGGTTTGTCAATTTTGTTTATCTTCTTCTAATAAAATACAAACCAGCACTCGATCTGAAAAAAATAAACTCTTAATTTGATTGATATTTCTCTATTACTTTTTATAGTCTCTATTTCATTTATTTCTGCCATTGAAACCAGCTCAATTGGCCCATGGAACTGATGTTTAGTGTTTATCATTAATAAACCAAGAAATTGACCTTCTCAGTCTTAAAACTTGAGAAACTCGTATTTGTCATATCTGAGTTCCTTTCTCAGGAAACCAACCTTTGGGTCTCCCAGATAGTATCAAGGAAAAGAAACTTACCAGATCACCACATCTGGACATTGAGACACTGACCCCTCACCTGTCATGATTGCCTGATTGATTACTTGTTGACCAAGTCATTCTTCTTATTCCTCCCTAATTCTTGCTTTCCCACACATAGTTGCATTTATTTTCTGCTATATAAACTCCTAATTTTAGTGTGTGAAAGAGATGGATTTGAGATTGATCTGTTCTCCTTAGACACAGCACCCAAAAAAGCCTTCCCTGGTAATACGCATCGTCTCTGTGATTGACTTTCTGTGCAATGAGCAGCAGGACCTAGACTAAACCTTTGGCATTTCAGTAACACTAATTTTTATTATTTCCCTCCTTCTTCTAACTTTGGACTTAGTTTGTTCTTTTTCTAGCTCCTTGTGGTACAATATTAGGTTATTTGAGATCTTTCTTCTTTATACACATGTATTTATTGCTATAAACTTCTCTCTTAACTGCTTTTGATGCATCTATAAGTGTTGGTATGTTGTGTTTCAATTTTATCCCAAGATTTAATTTTCCTCTTCATTTCTTCTTTGACCCATTGGTTGTTAAGAACATGTTGTTTAATTTCCATGTATTTGTGAACTTTTTAATTATCTTCCTGTTCAAAAATTGTTAGAGCAGTTTCTTTTTTAGTAAAGCATCTATTATAATAATTTTAGAACTTTTCTGTGATTTGTTTCTCCAGAAATCCAGGCCTAGAGTAGAGTTTTGGAGTCAGACAGAAAGCCTGATTTTAAGTCTTGGTTGGCTAGTAATCCTCAGACAGTTTTTGTTTTTTCTTTTCTTTTTTTTTTGTTTTAGAGACAGGTTCTCATTCTGTCACCCATGCTGGAATGTGGTTGTGTGATCATAGCTCACTGCGGCCTCTACATCCTCAGCTCAAGAAATCCTCCTACTTCAGTCTCCTGAGTAGTTGGAACTACAGGCATGTGCCACTGCACATGGCTAATTTATTTTTTTAATTTTTTGTAGCGATGCGGTCTTACAGTGTTGCCCAGGCTGGTCTTGAATTCTTGAACTGAAGCAGTCCTCCCATTTTGGCCTCCCAAAGTGCTGGAATTACAGGCATGAGCCACTGTACCTAGCCTAGTTTTTAAACTTTTTAAAGTTTCACTTTGTGTATACTTAAAATTGGTGCTGTTAGAGAACCTACATAATAAGCATAATTGATTAAATGATGTACATGTAAATTATTTGCCAGCGACTGGTTCGTATAGTGAATGCTCAGTAAGTAGTAGTTGTTACCATCACATGTTGAATACCTGAGTAAAGATGGAGTCAGCTGTTGGAGTCAGATTATTTCTTTGCCATTAAATATGCTTCTGAATTGTTTTTGTGCAGTCACTTTATATTCAGCCTTGGGTTCACCAAGATTCTTTACTTTTTCCCACAGGGTTAATGTTACTTATTTAACAAATAAGTATCTTTCCCTCTATGTACTTACCTAATCTAACTTTGTTCAATTCTGAGTACTACCCCAGTTAACTGAGATTATTTTCTTTTGAATCTTTATTTTTAAAAGACTGATTCTGGGTATTCCCCAAACTGGTGCTAGAGGTATCCTGTTCAGAACAGCAAGGCCAAAGCATTTTACGATTTGTAATCTAGTGAAAACAACCAAGGCTATTGAAGAGCTAGCCTGCCATGCTCTAGGGCAGCTCTATATCATAAGGATAGTCCTGAATTTTAAGGGGTACACAATGAATTATATTCCCAAAGGTTGGTCAGTCCCTGGAGAATTCAGGTAGGGAGATTACAAGCCTCAAAGATTTCTTCCAATCTCTTCCTCAGTTGTCTAGAAACTGCCTAGAATTGAAATGGATCCCTTTTCTGGATAAGTTTTAACACCCATTCAAAAATGGTTCCAGATCATAAAGATAAGGGCACTTTAGATTCTTTTATCCTGTTCTTATTCTCGTAAGTATATGTACAAATCAGTAAGTGGATTTATTCTGTCATACTCATTTGTGTAACAGCCTTACCACCATAGGTGTTGTACATCAGGATTTGGGAGTGAGCCTAAGGGTTACTAGCCTTTGACAAATACTACTGAGCTCTGTTTTTCTGCTAGTAAAGAGCCCTATATTCAACTGATATCACTTTCCATTAGTTCTTAGGTATTCAAAGCTCTTTATTTGAAATTTTTTAAAAAATGGAATGAGGTGCAATAGAGTTAACACTACCTTTTTATTTTTCAATGGAGACACACATTTTAGAAAACTTTTTCTCATAAGAAAGAGTATGTTTTAGATAGTTCATATCGCTAAATTTGTTAAAACTATGGCAATTGTTCAATAATAATACAACGTAGGTTTATGTATTTGTATGTTTCCTTCTATAGGTTTCTTCAGTTTTTGGCGTGGCAATTTGGCAAATGTTATTCGGTATTTTCCAACACAAGCTCTAAATTTTGCATTTAAGGACAAATACAAGCAGCTGTTCATGTCTGGAGTTAATAAAGAAAAACAGGTAATTATATTTTTTTACTTTTTCCTTGCAATATAGAAATTTTCCGTCCAATATAAATTTCCTATCCAATGTAAATATGTTTCACTATCTCTACAATTTTCTTTAAAATGGTTAGATTTGTCTTAACTGTGATGTTTTATTTGGGGGGAAGGTGCTCAAGTAGTGGGAAAAAATAATAAGTGTGTATTGTTACAAAAATTATAAGGGATCTTTTGTCTCAAGGCAGTATTTTTTGAATAAATATTACACTTAATGGAATTTCATCTTATCACTGTTTTGCACTGGGGAAACACAGCATTTTGTCTGCTTATTTTAAGCACAGAAAGAAATCAACAAGTACGTAGTTCCTGTTACTGAGGTAATTTATATCCTGAAGAAGTAAATTATTTCTTCTTTGAGAATAAAGATATATTTAGGTGAGATTAAAGCATATAGGAAGTCCAAATTGAGCAAAACTGGAAAATGATAAATTTAAACTAGAGAATTCCTTTTATTGCAAGGATAATTTTTGGTTTTCAAAGTAATTACTCCCTTGGTTACAAAATCTCAATTTCAAACTTTCCTACTCATATAAACTACATGTCATTTATTCTGACTTCTATTTGTTTGGTTGTATCCAATACACTATACTATCTACATTACTCCCAAGATCTTCCCCTCACTCTTACAAAATCTCCCTTCCCCCTCATCTTTTGTCTTTTTCTCCCTGTCATTCCTCACCTCCCACTCCTGCCTCAGCCAACCAAGCTATCTTAGAAGGTTTTTTAAAAGCAAGTCTTTGTAGAACATTTCTTTGTTGCTGCTTCATTAAATTTCCTTTTATGCTCTGTATTCCCTTTTTTCACAGTCCTATTTTATTAAGTTGTTCATTGAATGCTTTGCGCTTTAGCCAGGGTGGTGGGGCGGGGTGAGGGGACGCAGGTAGAAAGGTAACCAAGAAATTCCCTAGACTTAGAATTGGAAGGTTTAAGATTTGGATCTTATGTAGCTACATGAGGTTTTTTTACTTTTATTTTAGGTTTGGGGGTACGTGTCAAGGTTTGCTTTATAGGTAAACTCGTGTCACAGGGGTTTTTTGTACAGATAATTTCATCACTCAAGTATTAAGCCTAGCACCCAATAGTTATTTTTCTTGCATCTCTCCATCCTCCCACCCCCCACCCTAAAGTAGATCCCAATATCTGTTTTTTTCTTCTTTGTATTCATAAGTTCTCATCATTTAGCTCCCACTTATAAGTGAGAACATGCAGTATTTGGTTTTCTGTTCCTGCATTAGTTTGCTAAGGATAATAGCCTCCAGCTCTGTTCATGTTCCCACAAAAGATATGATTTTTTTTTATGGCTGCATAGTATTGCATGTTATATATGTACCACATTTTCTTTATCCAATCTGCCATTTGTGGGCACTTAAGTTGATTCCAGGTTTTTGCTATTGTGAGTAGTAACAATGAACATTCGCATACATGTGTCTTTATAGTAGAATGATTTATGTTCCTCTGGGTATGTACCCAGTAATGATACTTCTGTTTTTAGCTCTTTGAGGAATCGCTATACTGCTTTCCACAATGGTCCAACTAATTTACACTCCCACCAACAGTATATAAGTGTTCCCTTTTCTCCACAACCTCGCCATCTTTTATTTTTTGACTTTTTAATAGTAGCCATTCTGACCATGAGACAGTATCACATTGTGGTTTTGATTTGCATTTTTCTGATGATCAGTGATACTGAGCCTTTTTCATATGGTTGTTGGCCATGTGTATGTCTTTTTTAAAAAAGTGTCTGTTCACGTCCTTTGCCCACTTTTTAGTGGGGTTGTTTTTCTGTTGCAAATTTTTTTTAAGTTCCTTGTAGATGCTAGATAGTAGACCATTGTCAGTTTGCAAATATTTTCTCCCATTCTGTAGGTTGTCTGTTTACTCTGTTAATAGTTTCTTTTACTTTGCAGAAGCTCTTAAGTTTAGATCCTATTTGTCAATTTTTGCTTTTGTTGCAGTTGCTTTTGGTGTCTTTTTCATGAAATCTTTGCCCATTCCTATGTCAAGGATGATATTGCCTGGGTTATCTTCCATGGTTTTTTTAGTTTTGGGTTTTACATTTAAGTCTTTAATCCATCTTGAGTTGATTTTTATATATAGTGTAAGGAAGGAGTCCAACTTTAATCTTCTGTATATGGCTAGCCCACCACTATTTATTGAATAAGGAGTCCTTTCCTCATTACTTGTTTTTGTCAGCTTTGTCAAAGATTAAATGACTGTAGGTATGCAGTTTTATTTCTGGGCTCTCTATTCTGTTCCATTGGCCTTAGTACCATGCTGTTTTGGTTACTTTAGCCCAGTTCTATAGTTCGAAGTTGGGTAAAATGATACCTCTAGCTTCATTCTTTTTGCTTAGGATTGCCTTGGCCATTCGGGCTCTTTTTTGGTTACATATGAATTTTTAAACGGTTTTTTCTAGTTCTGTGAAGAATGACATTGGTAATTTGATAGGAATAGCATTGAATCTGTAAATTGCTTGGCGTGGTGTTGCGTTCCTGTAATCCTAGCTACTAGAGAGGCTGAAGCAGGAGAATCGCTTGAACCCAGGCGGTAGAGGTTGCAGTGAGCCGAGATCGTGCCATTGCACTCCAGCCTGGTGACAGAGCAAGACCCCATCTCAAAAAAAAAAAAAAAAAAAAACTAAAAATAGAACTCCCACAGTATTCAGCAGTCCCACTACTGGGTTATATATCCAAAGGAGTTGAAATCAGCGTGATGAAGAGAGATCTGCACAATCTGCAGTCTTGTTTATTGCAGCATTATTCACGATAGCTAGGATATGGAAGCAACCTAAGTGTCCACGAGCAGATGAATAGATAAAGAAAATGTATGTATTCAGTGGAATATTATTCAGCCTTATAGAAGACAGAAATTCTGTCATTTGTGATGTGGAATAACCAACTAAGTGAAGTAAGCCAGGTGCAGAAAGACAAATACTGCTACTGACTTTTGTACATCCCACTTATATGTGGAATTTTAAAATGTTGATCTCATAGAAGCAAAGTAGACTGGTGGTTTCTGGGGTCGATGGAGGGTGGGGAGATGAGGAATGGGGAGATGTTGCTCAAAGGGTACAAAGTTTCATTTAGACAGGAGGAATAAGTTTTAGGGCTCTGTTGTACACCATGAGACTGTAGTTAATAATAATGTATATTTCAAAATTGCTAAAAGAGTAGGTTTTAAATGTTCTCACCACAAAAATTTAAGTATGCAATATATATGTTAATTAGCTTGGCACTCAACAATATAAATATGTATCAAAATTCCACATTGTACCCCATAAATATATACAATTGTCAACTAAAAAAATTTTTAAGTCATTGATACTTTTAGCCATTGTACCTAAAAAAATTTTAAGTCATTGATACAACACAGTAAGATATCACTAAATACCTACAATAATGACAACACCAAATTGATCACAGTGCAGAGAAACCAAATCACTCTTACATTGCTGGTGGAATGTGAAATGACATTGCCACTCTGGAAAAAAGTATGGCGATTTCTTAGAAACTAACATGCACCCACCATATGATGCATGTTTACACTTTTGGGTGGGAATTTATCCTGAAGAAATGAAAATTTATGTTTATACAAAAACCAGTGTACACAATGTTCAATAGCAGCTTTTCTTGCAATAGGCAAAATCTAGAAACAACTCAGATGTCCTTCAGTAGGCAAATGGTTAAACTATGGTAAATCACATCATGGGATATTACTCAGCAATAGAAAGGAAGAAAATTTTAAAATAATAGATTCAGGGGATACATGCACGTTTGTTACATGGGCATATTGTGTAATGCTGAGGTTTGGGCATCTGTTGAACCCATCAACCAAATAGTCAACATACTACCCAACAGGTAGCTTTTTAACCCTTCCCCCCTTTCCTCCCTACTTTTAGAGTTGCCAGTGTCTATTGTTTCTACCTTTATGTCCACATGTACCCCCTGTTTAGCTCCCACTTACAAGTGAGAACATGCAGTATTTGATTTTTTGTTTCTGCATTAATTCACTTAGGATAATGTCCTCCAGCTGCATCCATATTGCTGCCAAGGACATTATTTCGTTCTTTTTTTAAAGCTGCATGGTATTCCATGGTGTATATGTACCACATTTTCTTTATCCAGTCAACCATTGATGGGCACTTAGGTTGATTCTATGACTTTGTTATTGTGATTCGTGCTAAGATAAACATACAAGTTCAGCTGTCTTTTTGATACAACAATTTCTCTTCCTTTGGATAGATAGCCAGTAATAGGATTGCATAGTAGTTCTATTTTTAGTTCTTTGAGATATCTCCATACTGTTTTCCATGGGGGTTGAACTAATTTACATTCCCACCAACAATGTATAAGCATTCCCTTTTTGCACGTGACTGACATCTATTATTTTATGACCTTTTAATAGCCTTTTTGACTAGTGTGAGATGGTATCTCATTGTGCTTTTAATATGCATTTATCTGATAATCAGTGTATTAGTCCATTTTCATGCTGCTGATAAAGACATACCTGAGACTGGGAAGAAAAAGAGATTTAATTGGATTTGCAATTGCACATGGCTGTGGAGGCCTCAGAATCATGGCGGGAGGTGAAAGGCACTTTTTAACGTGATGGTGGCAAGAGAAAAATGAGGAGGAAGCAAAAGTGGAAACCCCTGATAAACCCATCAGATCTCATGGACTTATTTACTATCATGAGACTAGCACAGGAAAGACTGACCCCCATGATTCAGTTACCTCCCCTGGGTCTTTCCCACAACATGTGAGAATTCTGGGAGATAGAATTTGAGATTTCGGTGAGGACACAGCGAAACCGTATCAGTTAATGATGTTGAACATTTTTTCATATGTTTGTTGACCAGTTGTATGTCATCTTTTGGGAAATGTCTGTTCATGTCCTTTGCCCATTTTTTAATAGAGCTATTTGGTTTTTTTCTGGTTGATTTATTTAAGTTCCTTATAG